CTGTTTGCCCGTGCCATACAAACCTGATGCGTTAAGGATTCTGATTGCAGCGGGAGCACACAGTTTGAAAGCTGTGAGTCTCTTTACCAATTTCCCATGGGATCAAAGCAAATTTGATTGATCAAAATTTCACAAAAAACCTCTACCTTCCAATACATCTAAACCTATTCAATTTGATTTACCAATCACTAAAGCTGGAGTGTTTGAATTATATTTTGAATATGATGACAGCAGCAATTCTCATCAAAAAAGAAGAGTCAAAAGCTGATCAGGTTACTTCAATGTTGATCTGATCCTTTCAGTCGCGAGCAGGAAATCCATACCCAAGACAAGCCAGGATCACTCAGTTCAAGTACTACCCTTTGGCAAAACTGGCGAGACAATTGATAGGAACGCTCCTCTAGTCAACTTACCACTCAATGGGCTTGCGATCCAAAGCATGATAGCAAAATGTATGGGAACTTTAAAGAATTGGCCACCTTATCTTGATTTGATACGTGATTGAGGTTACAATGTGATCCACTTCACTCCACTTCAACAACATGGAGAAAGTGGTAGCCCTTATAATATCTTTGATCAATTGTTGTTGAATGGTATCTATAGAATAATTTGAGTGGTCTTGATATGACCGGAGTGGGATTTCCAAAAGGGGAAAGCACTCACTTGGGTGAAAAAAACTCAATTGGCCTCAATGGCCCACAACAACTGCAACAACCGCTGCCTGCGGTCTGTGGCGCTACAAGAAGCGCCTGCGCAGCGGTTCAAAAAAAACCAATCTCCAAGGGTTAGGAAGATCTGTGGAGTGTTTGAGCCCAGGAGCAACGCTGCACAGCAGCGCAGCACCCTCTGAAAACCGCCCCGCCCTGCTGCACAACTGCAATGGGGGGCATTGCTTACCCAGTGTTGTGCTAAAGCCTTGAGCAATCTCAATGGTGGGTTATATTCTCACTGATTCATTTCTCTCATATCTGTTCTTTTCTTTTCATTTTCACTCACATGATCTCTCTTATCTATTCAAATAGGCTGAGTTTGAATGGCTGGCCCTGGATCTTCTTGAACCAAATAAACCTGACAGCCTCACTCTCACCAAAGAAGTTTCACAGATTGCTCAACTGTTTCCCAAAGCCAAGGCATGGATCCACTGGTGGATTACAGCTGATATGCACAGCATGTTGTTCTGCGCTTGCAATCAGCTAACCTTGGACAATTTTCCCCTCCCGGATGATAAAGAGCCAATGCGTCACTTTACTAGCACTACAGATGGTTGATAGTTGATGCATTGATACTACTAAGTTTTTATTTGCGTCTTTTAATTCGATTTACTGATCACAACATTGTGCTGAATATATTGGATCAGTTTGGGTCACTGTACCATAATTTAGGGTTCCATTCAGTTACTCCTGTTCACTGAATGGTTTAAGAGGGACATCAACAAAGTTCTTCAAGGAATATCAATCAATCATGGAGATAGTTAGGAATCAGTCGTGGAGACCATGGGATGGTCCAAGGAACACACTTGATGTTGTCCTGAGGGCAACAACGGTGATCCTCCTGATACCACTGGTGCTTTGCTTTGCCCTAAGAAGCTTAGCCACCCAACTGGGTCTGCCAGTGTGAACTGACATCCCCATTTCTCTTATCAGTCCTACTGAGCAATTGCAGATCCAGGTCAGCTCAATTGATGTTGGGAGACAGCTACAACAGAGTCTTAGTAACTGATATTTCCCCTCTGTGGATTCATGAGGGACCCAAGGGTAACAGTGAAGATATTGCATCCAAATTACTTCAAAATTACTCTTCAAGGCTCTCAGCTAAATTGCAACAATATGTACACATCAAAGCATTCTTGAAATGTTGACACAAAGCTAATTTGAAACAGTGGTTTTCCAGCATAACAAGTGGTATCAATAATTATTCCTGAAAAGCACTTATAAGCCAAATGATGCTGATGGCTTTTGAGCTCATAGCAAACAGAGAGAGATTGACTTTCCAATATCCAATGAATCATATTAACATGAAGAAAGTAGGTTTTGAAATTTCCAGACAATGTTTTCCAGACCACCAGAAGACTTCTGGTGTTCTGCAAACTTTGTCTAGAAATTTCCAGAATGATATTTGTGTACCCTAATTGAGTAGTTGATTTAGAGGAAAGAAATGACAGTGACAAAGTTGCCATTGCACAAATGAAGCTCAAACCACATACAAGAAGAGAAGAAGCAAAGGCTATCTTCAACAACAAATGTGACAATTGAAGCCACAATACATCCTTACCATAGCAAACAAATTGAGGGATGATGATTTTGCATCAGTCTTAAATTGGATGACACCAACCCCCAGATGGGATTGGTTGAAGGCAGAGGGAGGTAACTACATGAGTATGAGTATGAATGATGATGAGTAATAATTAATTATATCCTATTCTTATTCATCAGACGTTTTCACTTCATTTCATATTTTGTATCTTTATCACCCAAACAAATGTGTATATAAGGGTGGACAGAACACACATATTATATGATAGTTCAAAATCATCTTTGTGATTTTAATTGTCAGTCAACAGTAATGCATGAAAAAACAATGAATACAATGCATCAGATGAATATACTGTTTTAGACTTGCCTACACACCACAGGTACATGAATATAATCATAGAACATTCTTTTGGCAAGCTAATCTCTTTGTTCAGATGCTTGATCAGTAGGATTGGGCTCATGGGAGTTCTACAGGACGTCTTTGCCTTCAGCACTGTTATTGAAGCTACATAGTCTTTTCCATCTTTGATGACAAGTTCAAGAAGCTTAATTGGATGTCAAGAGGATTGTGAAGATGCGTTAGAGTCCGGACTGGATGACATGATGGGGA